AGCACAAAATATCTTTACTACCTATGAGTTATTAGCCAATAGCTATTACTACGCATCTTACGGCGATTTATTGAAATATCTGCACACGAAATCATTAATAACTGTTATAGTCCCACCCAGTTTAGCTCAACTTTCCATTTCGCGCGCGCTAAGAATTAAGACAAACATTTTGTGACTGTAGCGTGTATTACCGACCAGTTGTTCCCGCCTACCTTCTGAATTATCTTACAGTTTATCAATACCCAGAGGATTCTTACTATTCTTGTTAACCTTCGGCGTGCGACAATTCCACGCAATTTGGTATCGAACCAATATCACGTTGGTTCGTATGAGAGAGCTGCGCAACGGCGTTGAGCCCTAACCACACAATCCTCAAAGCTGAACACGAACACAGCTGAGAAAATACATATTCAACATTCAACGCGGGGAAGAACCTAACTATGGAGAATGCGAGAAGAAGGGATTCAGTCAATTCAAATTAATCAGATGGCATGGCTCAGTCCTTCAGGCGTGATCATTATTGTGTAGCCTATCCCTTCTATTCATATGAAATATTGTTCTATCTCCAGCCCTAATGCGTTCTCCATTATATGTTGGTGATTGTTACGATACAATCAGTCAGTGTAGATAATTATTTTAATTCCTCGTAAGATCTTATACATTAGGCAGTTACACTATGACAAACCTACAATTTTAGTGTTAGGTCTACTGATAATGGTAATTTATTCTCAAATAACAGTTTGTTACGTGAGGCGCGCCAGTTTGCAGGCAAAATGAAATTGTTACAGAAGTTACAGGCTTCACTCTAGTGGGTTACTTAATTTGTTTGATATTTTATAAGGTACAAAAAATAGAGGGATATTACTTCTCACATATAAATTCAAATAATATTAGTAAGATCCGTATTCCCAATATAACAGTTGGTGCGCTTTATTGAGGTTGCATTGCCACGTGCAACTGATAGTCGAGAGTAAATCCACGTAAATTTGAGAGTTTTCTATAAACTATGACCTTATATCCCTCTGGAAAATTTTAGTCATTAATGATGGTGCAGAACAAAGCCAGCTGTTCCATATGCGTTATCGGTGGCGTATCTTGAGAAAACTGAAAAAGGTGTAAGATAAAGAAAAGTACACACTGTTCATGCATATTGGAATTGAGTCATTTGGGATGAAATAATAAAGGGATGACCACTTAGTTTAAGTTTCTGTTATTAAGGTACTTTTTAAGCAAGAACATTCGAATAGATTAACGAAAGCAAGCGTAAATATGGTATGAATAGACAAAAACAGTATAAATGGATGTGGTTCAAAGGAGGCTGAAAGTATAAGATAATGTAATGTTTTAAAATATAGTGCTGAAAACAGTATTCTGATACACAAATGGCTATCTCCCTTTTTGCCGTAGCCATTTCAGCTCCTTTTTACTTTTATTGATTTTGTACGGTCATGAGTAGATTTCATCTTTAGTGAATTGTCTAGTTTTGCTTGTAATAGGATTACTCAGTAGGTAGTGAAATCAATTCAACGTCATAAACAGGATTTAAAGAGGTGTTTTGTAAATTAAATTAGTATCAATACGATTGGTTTGTGACATCCCCCGTGACAACAGGGAGCTGTAATTTAACAAAATGTTTTGCCCCACAGATATGGGTGGATCAAAGTTGTCTCTCCCCATCATGTTTGCTGGTCATCAACGCCACCCTCCTTCCTTGGTGTTGGACTCTCTTACGTTTGTAGTGTGTATGAATATTGCTTTAAGCTAAGCTCCTTGTTGGAACACAATGACTCCACTACCTCCATGTTACAAGCAAATCAGGTGGTTAAAGCTTCTGTATTGTGGGTTAGACATCCATTTAATGTACCACACTGCTATAAAGATAATTAATGGTATAAGTTATAAGATACTGGTCAGATCATATGTGGTTTAGAGATGGTAAGGATAGATAGAAAACCTAAAAATATGCGAGAGTTTAGAATTATAAAATTTTTGGAGTAAGCAAAGGAAACAATGAGCGACTCACGAGAACTTGGGACATTATGAGTCTCTTATAATTGGCCATAGTTGATCAGGATCCATGAGATTAGTGAGTTATCTGTATGCTTGTAATATAAAAAAAGACATGACACTTATGAAGAATAATACAAATGTAACTACTAGGGAGAACCGGGATCTGAAAGTGAGGAGTACGAGGATAAGGGCATGAGCAATTATCAGTAAATAACGGAAGAGAGTAAACCATGTGTTCCATCATTTGTTATGTTCATGCTAATTACAATGCGAGTCTGTTATACTCCTGGTCGGTCTAGATACTAGGCGGTCCATAATAAAGTGCCTCATTGGTTCAGGGAATAGTTGATAAAGCTATTTAGTGTCAAGTTATAATAATAATAATAATAGTAATTTATTCTCAAATAACAGTTTGTTACATGAGGCATGCCAGTTTACAGGCAAGATCAAATTGATACAAATGATACAATATACACTGTATTAAATTACATAGCTGGGTTGAAAATTTATAAGACACGAATGTAGATTGTTTTAATCAGTACTATAGTTGGCGCGCTTCACGAGAGTTGCGTTGCGAATGTGCGACTGATGGTCAAGAATAGGTCCATTGAAGGTATGAGCTCCTAGAAATCGCAACCTTATGTCCCTTTGGGATATCCAAGGCTTTAAGGATGGTGCAGGATGAAGTAACCTGTTCCATATCTCAAGTGGGCTGAAAGAGGGAGCAAGTAAAAGAAAACACGAGAGGCAGAGTAACCAATATTCATGTAGGAATGTTTAGGGTATGATTACTCAGTCTAACTTTCTTTTATTAGGGTATTTGTTAAGAAAGAGCATTTTAATAGGTTAAAGGAAACAAGCTTTAGCAAGGTGTGAGTCGACATACAACTGACAAATGGAGGCGATTCGGAAAAGAGCTGAGAGTATAAGATTATGTGTGATTATAAAATAAAATATAGTGCTAGAAACAGTATTGTGATATACAATAGTGTTATCGGTCTTTGGAACTTGGTGACAGTGTCACAGGTATGGAGAAGTGTTGCAGCCTATTCCATAATAAACTATACCGTACTGTAAAAAACTTAGAATGCAATGGTTTTCGGTGTTTTGCCTTAAGCAATGTATATGCGTCGTTTCTGAGCCTGTAAACTGAGTCATGGATCATAGCCGGACAGGAGGTTAGAAATATGAGTCCATATATAGAAATATTAGACTGTTCTTTAGCCCACAACACCATGAAGCTTCTAAGGGAAGGTAATTACAGCTGTCTGTGTGGTTGAGAGTGGAGTCACGTCCTAGCAGTTAGCGTGTGAAATGTCTTCGGACATCCACTCTTATCTTGTGTGTGGTGTTCATGTTTGAGAAGATGAAAAGGCAATAATCAAACAAGGGTCGTATACATATTTTGTAGGAGATAAGCTTAGCCTCTGTTGTGAAGAAATTTTGCATTATGAAACCAATTAGCCGTCCAGATTTAGAAGTAATAAACGAGGCACGTTCTTCAAAATTCAAAGCAGTACTGATAACGAATTAAACCAAAATTCTACAGGCTAACTTAACTATTTTGACTACCCAAGCAAAACATTGTTGTGGTAGGCTCACGTTCTGCATTCTGACCGAGGATGGAATACAGTGTGACAACTGCAAAATGTAGTAGAACAGCATATGCACCGAACTCACTGACTGCATATAAGTGGTGTTGAAAGACATTATGACGTTGGCTGTGTCAAGAATGCCGCCATACATGGTCTCTGCTGATTCATAAGGCGACTAAGCTACCAAACACTGTTAAAAAGCTTCCCTCAGACGGACGGCAAGCAGCAGGAGGGCAGGTATCAGATCTCCTGGAAGTAATGGGCATCACCATGAGTCCAGCTTCAGAATAAAACGAAACCATCACGACTGACCTACATGACATATCAGGAGACAAACATACAAATGTAGGTATAGTTATAAAAAGAACGAAAAATTCAGCAATGAAAAAAATTACGGAAGGATCAATATATGTTAATCGGCTGTTCGACCTATCGAAACCGATATTAACACAAAAAAGTCAATTCAGAAGAAAGCCTGATCCTTGCAAAAGATTTAGTCAAGAAAAAATGCCAATGATTGAATTATTGTGACATCTAGAAACTTAACCGAAAACTGTGAAACCTGCACGTCTGTCACCGAAAGCTAAATCGCAAAGCTTATCAAAACAGATCTCACAGAGCGGTTAGTCAATTATCATAATTTTAGATAGCCTTCAGGAAAGAAACCCAGGGCTAGATTTGAAGACGACTTGAGCCACATTAAGTTCTTAATAAGCAAGCTACTTCCAGAAGTAGTATCAGGAGTTAGCATATATAAACTTCATAGAAAAGGAAAAAACGTGAGTTCTTGAAGCACTTCTCTTAAATATTACCTTTGCTTTGGCGAAAGAAAGAAATCTAACGATGGAAAATTTATAGTGGCATTGGACCATAACCACACAATCCTCAAAGCTGAATACGAGACTACTCGGAAAATAGATATTCAATATGTAACACGGAGAAATACCTAACAATGGAGAAGGCGCGAATAAGGAATTGAATGGGCTGGAGTTGATCGCGTGGCATGGCCCGGCCATGCAGGCGTTGTCTCTGCTGAATGTTACCTTATATCTTCTATTCATATTAAATATATTGTTCTTTCTCTAGCCTAACCTTGTTCTACATCATGTATTGGTAATTGATGCGATACAGTGAGTTGGTGTAGTCGATGGTGTGACTTCCACGTAAGATCTTATAGATTAGGCAGTTATATCATGACAAATCTACAAATTTAGGATTAGGTCTTTTATTAGAGCAGTACTAATATCATATTAAACCATAATTCTACAAACTCACGCAAACTGACTGAATTCGAAATGTATGTCCGTGAGGATCTGAGCCTGGTTGAACACATTAAGAGAAAATCAGCAGAGGTAGTAATAAATGAGCGCCGCCATATGCAGTATAAAAGCTTACCTCGTTCGTTCCACCTTGACATTCATAAGTGAAAGTACATTTTATTCCATCCTGTTGTCAAATGTATTGTTTCTCTGTATATGTAAATACCATACCCTTTCAATTGTCGACGAGTACTTTTTACCACCTGGTTGGACAGAAAATTCCTTTTTTATAGACGAGCCGTCTCCAAAAGTGCTATCCAAACAGACGGCAGTGAGAACTAAAAGTGTCAACATGACAAATAATTCATAAATGTGATCATTCAGGTGTATTCATTAAAAAAATCAAAGGTCAGTCCAATAGTGAAAACACGAACTGGGGTTCAAATGGTTCAATTGGTTGTGGACGGAATAGAAGAAACTATCGGTTAACGGGATTCTGTGTCTAATAGCAGTGGATCGCCAATATCTCCAGACAGGAATCTAGGTGTATTTACGATAAAAGAGGAAAAAGAAATTTGTGAATCATAGTAAGATACTAACATTGGTCCTTAAGAATAGAACAAATTTCCTCTTAAAGGACTCCAAGTAGTCTCATGGATTGGCTCAGCTGGCAGCGAATTCCAGCATTTGACAACTCTTAAGGAGTAGAAATCGTGTCCATAGTCGGCTCTCCTATGTTTTCTGTCGTTTTTGGGTGTTACCTCTTAGATTTATGTTGCAGCTAAACTTGTGTAGGTGACTAAGTGAATGTCCAGAATTGCTAAGGATACTGTAAGCCATCAGAAGGTCAACTTTAAGATTCCTGTGCTCTAATGGGTGAAGGTTAATTGATTGGAGGCGCTCTTCATAAGGTTTGAATTTGAGTTCTCGAAATGATTTCGTGACTCAACGTTGGATACACTCCAGAGTGTCCTACTCCTTTTGGAGTGAGGGAGGAAATACTATGTTTCCGTACTCTAAGTGGGGACAAATAAAACTGTTGAAGATTATGTGGAAAGTTCTTCCATCAAACTGGCTATAATGCGCTTCAATGTTATCAGTGCAAGACTTTCTCAAAAGGCATTTTTCTCACAGTTAGCGTAAAGCTTCAAATCGTAGGGCACCAAGACTCCTTAATCATTTTCGACTTGGGATACTACTGAAGAGGAGTTTCCTAAGTTATAACTGTAGTCTGCAATATGTCTCAGATGGACTACTTTGCACGTTGAAGTGTTAAAGTTAAGTCTATTGTCATTCGCCCAACTTCGAAGTCGAGTCAGATACTCCCGAAGTGCCATTTTATTCTCTAAGTTTCACATCATCAGCAAAAATTAATAAGTCAGACGATATCTATTATGGAAATCGATTATATAAATCAAGAAAAGAAGAGGTCCTAGCACTGAGCCCTGGGGGACCTCACTAGAACATTCCACAGCCTGAGGTAAAGTGAAGTTAACCCTGACCATAAAATGTCGACTTTTCAGGTATGAAGTGAGCCAATCGATTAGAGGTGGCCTGATACCCAATCGTTTGAGCTTATTGATAAGACACATATGGTTAACCTTATTAAAAGCTTCTGGGAAATCTAGGTAAATGATATCGACCTTCCCCTTGTGATCGGGGATGATTGTCTATCTGTCTACTGCAGTCAGCAGGTTGGTTATACAAGAATGACCCTTCCTGAAAGCATGCTGTTGGGGTAAGAAGAAACTTAAGAACAGTAAATAGTCATTTATAACATCACATATCAGGGACTATATAATTTTTGAAGGTATAGAGAGAAGAGCCACTGGTCGGTAACTTGAAAATTCGCTGCGTTGACCTCCATTAAAAATTGGTGTGACGTGAGCCAGCTTCCAATTTCCCGGTAGTTTGCCTTGGCCTAGCGAGTGTGAGAACATCACGCTAAGCGGTGTTGCCAGGATTGAGGCTGCTTCCCTCGGTACATCATAATGAACCATATCTGAGCCAGGAGAAGTGTCTTTACTTAGGTGCTGCAGTTTTCGGAACACCAAGTCAGCGTTCAGGTTCACTACGGAAAGTCCTGCTCAGTTGCAAACGAAGCTGTCGTCAGTATAGTTGATGTGGGTCTGTTGAAGTGTCCGAGAGTATTGTTCACTCAGAAGTTTAGCGGCATCACCGTCGTTATTGGTCGAACCATTTGGATCTAGCTGTTGGGAAACTCCAGTTTTGGCCTGATGAAGAGATACTGCAAAACAGAATAAGCTTTTCGGATTAGATATAAAATTTGTCCATAAGCTTTGTCTGGTACTGAAGCCTGTCCTCTCTTATAGCCATCGTGCATATGTTCCTTATATGTTTGTATTGCCTGTACGCTTCATTGTTGTCAGTTCGTTTGTATTCTGCCCAACAGTGCTTCTTGCGGCTTAGTAGGCGAAGAGTGTGGTTCCTGATGATTGTGGGTAATTTCTGTAAGACTCTGATGTCTAATGTGAAAGTTGGCGCGCTTTGTGGAGTTTGCGTTGCGACAAGTTATTGATGGTCGAGAATGGATGAAATTAGGGTTCATTGCAGTCGGTCAAATACATCAACTTGGACGTATTACTTTGTGCTTTTTGATAGTGATCACAGATAAATTCCAGGGGCACTGGTGACGGCGCAGGACGGAATCATACACTCCGCATTTGTCTCAACCGTGTACAAGCAGGTTTTAATTTGTGCAGCACTCAGTCGTTTTTTTCATGCATCACTAGTCTTTCGAAATTGAAAAGACGGTCATAGACTACAGATTTTTGACCATAAGTTTACTCAAAGCAAAATTGTATATCTAGACCTATATTTTTGGGTCCCAGGCTCCCAACGTTGGGGAAAATTGAGTCCATTTTGGGGAAATTTTGGGGAAGCCGCTATAATAAATTTTGGGGAAATGAGAAAAAAAACCCGAAATTTCCCCAAAGCTGGTAGCTTGAGGTCTTTTATTTTAGAATGCTTTCTCGGATATCTAATATTGTGTTAAACTGCTTTTTGCCAAATTTTTGTGTGACCGAATGCAAATAAAAGTTATCAGAACCAAATCATACACCTGTAGCAACAAATAGAAGTGCCATTGAAGTTCCAAGCGAAAATGAATAGTCCGGAATACATCTACAGATAGAACGACCGACTTCAATAACATTCAGTTTTCTAACACCGGCCACAATTTACTGGTCTACATGTAGTGATCCTCTGCAGTAAGTGGTTGCTCGATTCGGAGCATCTCAACACATGTTTTGCTCACTTAGTTGCCCTTATGTCTAGACAACCAATGCTTCACGATACATTCTAAAAAATGAAACGGAACTTTTTCGGATAAAAAAGTATAAAAGGCAACTGGTTAAATGATTAGTACTTCCTTGTAATCCATAGACAGTGATTAGTCCCCCTCAAAGTCTAGTATTTTTAAGCATAACTGACACAATCGCTCTTAGTGTGGTGCATGCTACTTATGCTGACAGATATAAGTAGCATGCAGCACCAATTGGAAGTGGAATGCCTGGCAGCAGAAGACTGAATTGAAGAAAACAGGAATGGATACAGCAGCTATAATAGCAACGAAATTGAAAGAATCATAAAGTATGTGAGGGACAACTAAAGAAAGATGTGCAAAGAATGTATTTAATGTACGGTTTTCATATTTTACGAAGGCACTCTGTAATTTTGCATTAAAAAATAGATTGGTTATCCCCACTCCCTGTTCACTACAGTAGCTATAATAATTGTGATAAAATGTAATACTTTACAAATTGCAATGCATTTTTAGAATAATGAATAATCCAAGTGGAGGAAAGGACTCTAGTCTTGTACAATGCATTTTAAGAGAGTTGGCTGAAGAACTCTCACCATATGGTTTTGATATATCCCCATTTTTATCTGGTTGGTATGATGCTAATATCAGTTCAAAGGTCCGGCTTGGGTCTGATCTAGCACCTTATGAAGACTGTTTATGCATTTGTTTGATAAGCAGTCCACAAATGTTTGAAAAGACATTTATACCAACTGTTTTTGATTGGTGTAAAGAATCAGGAATAGAATCACTGGATAATGTTTTGAAATGTTTGAAAACTCGGTTTTGTGGATCTAGATTTCTTCCCGGCTCTGATGATCCCTTCGATTGGACTGTTTTTATTCGATTACAAAAGGCACTAAGTAATTCTGTTCAAAATTTAAAACTTAATCTAACTCCTGACGAGTCGACAAAGTTAAATAATGCGGAATGGATACCAGATTATGCCATCAGACCAGTTACTCGACTTCCCTATGTTCATGTGCAAACAGCTGGTCACGTATCAGGAATGGCTTATTTTCATCAACCTAGTGATTCAATAAAGAAAAAAGGCGGTTCCTATAGTGGAGTCAGTTTGCATCCATATTACGGCGGTTGGTTCGGGTTTAGGTAAGTAGTCTATTTATTTAAATAAAACAATGTAGATATAATTTAGCTTTGTTTACTAACCTCATTTGTTCTAGAATTCTAATTTTTATTGTCTTGTGAATTTAACCTCTATTTCCACACGACAAAACAAGGTATAGGTAGCCCTGTTAATTCTAATCCATTGTATTAATTTACCAATCAGACCATATTGTTTTGTAAAGACAAAGATCAGTAAATTCTAAATTGATTCATACGCATTTAAAAATGGTAAAATCAGTCAACTGATGCTATGAGACCTACACTTTTTTCTTATTTCCACGTCATTAATACTTACTAGTGTACAGTTGTGACTTTAGATATCTATCCATGTTTGTTATTTTTATTAGTTAAAGAAGTCATTTGCACATTGAGTAAAAAATTCATTGCTTTTAAAAAATGTTACTATTACTTAGCGGACCAAACCGATGCAAAGCCCACAGTTCCAATAAGTGTATCAAGGGTCTAAACCGTGCTATCCCAGTTGAGACTATTTATGACCGTTCGTACAGGTTTGTTTCATAGCCTAGTACACATATCTACACGTAATGTTTTCATGTTAAGTTGATATACTTAGGACTGTACACTTTAATATATTATGGTCTGTTAAGAGTGCAAGTCTTTCGAAAACTGAAATTATAAATACATAATGCTCTTTTCCTTCTCAGAGGTATTTATATCTTCCCCAACTTACGATATCCAACTTTACCAAGACAAAATCCATTATCTCCTATCTACTCCGAGAATGAACAATTGCCGGACGAATTATTAGAACATGTATTGCATGAATATAATTGTTGTTGGAATGAAAATAAATGGAGAGATTATAAGTTACCAGATACAATTGGTCACCGTTATTCATCAAATGCTTTAGCTTATTTTTCAACGCCATCATCAGAACGCGTGC